TCTCGCCTACATCGTCCATATAGGACGACTCGGGAACTCAACTCCTACCCCGGGCAGCTCACCTATCCCCTTATGCCCAGGGGAAAGGTATCAAGCCGTTTGACAGCTGATGCTGGCTGTCAAACCGGCTTTTACGCAAAACAGGCGGGAGGCAGCAAACAGCTGCGACCAGCGAAATCGCCTGCCACCGGAAGTCTTCATAGCCTTGTTTTGATAAAATAAAGGTAAAGGTAAAGAAATGCTTGTGGATTTTACTCTGCTAATTGCTGGCGACTATAGGGGGCGATGCTTATCTCCATTTCAAGGCCATTGAGCCAGCACTGTCTGAAGACATTTCTGCCGTCATGTGGCTAGCATGATGTCACAGAGTGCTGCTACCTTCCACCAAAGTGGTACCTATTTATCTACTTGCATTTGCATGCTTTCGAACTGGTAGGTTGGTAGGAGGACAGCAGCTCATCGCGTCACATGGCACTCGGGTCTTGAACTTGGACTGCCAGCTTTCCAGCCGACACAGCCCAGCGTCATAACTGCTGAGCCACCGCACCGCTCTTCTGATAAAATAGGCAATGTATATAATTATTAAGCTTGGTTTCTATCCTAGGAGCTCTACTATAGTTTTATTATTTAATGTGTTTCTCTGCGTGAATACTGTATCTAGTTAATACTGTACAACTGCTAATACCTAAATGAAAATTTAGCACTTCCCACTTAATTGTCTACTTGTCAAATTTAATATTAGGTACCGATCATAGTTTTCACTACTGCATAGTTTTCTAAAGAGGGTTAGAATTTAGTTCCTTATTGAGTTCAGTTTGAGAAATATTATTTGAAATTTTGGCAAGTACAAGATGAGGATTCTTGTTTATTCAGCTTTTTAAAGTAACACTATAAAATTTATAACAAATTGCACTATAAGCATTGTTTTTATTATTTTACTCATGCAAAGTTGATGGTAGGAAGAATCTCAACTAAAAAAAATACATACAAAATAAACTTGGAGTAAAACAGACCTTCTATAAACTGTCACTTTGGATTAATATAAGAATTTAACCACTACCACCTCAACTTCTATGAAGCTATCTACTATGATTATTAATTAAGACGGCAATGTGAGTACCTGGGCCTTGCACTAGTGCCTCTAAGAAAAACCTCCAATTTATACTTCTGGCCAATGTTATGTTAAAAGAAGTCACTAAAGGCTATTTTAGTAACAAGAAAACTAAGGGACTCGCCCTAACTTTTAGAACAGACATGTCAAACACAAGGCCCAGGGGCCGGATGCGGCCCGCGAAGTGGTTTCATGTGGCCCGTGAAGCCATCCTGGAAACAGTGAGGGAACGGCCCCCACTGCCTTGGCCCTGGCCGGCTGGGAGCCAATGTACAATTTTGTGGTGGCCATCTATGCTGAAATGCATTCAGTCTTAGCTCCACAAGGCTGTCTGGAAACAGCGAGGAACCAGCCCCTGCCACATCGGCCCTGCCCCCTGGGTGCATGCTGGGGAGGTGTCACCTTTTGTGTGGAATGAAAAAATGCACCATCGCCTGGAGGTGGCCAGCAAATGGCCCTTGCCTACTTCACATATCTGGCTTGATGGGCTCTGGGGGAGGGGTTTCGGCAGGCAGCGGGGCGTTCTCACACGCTCACACAATAGGCCACACCCACTCCATCCATGCCCACCCAGTAGGCCGCACCCACCCTGGCCACACCTACCCGGCCCCCCAAGGGCAACCGCAATGCTGATGCGGCCCTCAATGAAATTGAGTTTGATACCCCTGTTTTAGAAGATAATATCCTCATTACAATAAATATTAAGGCACCATGATTGGGATTTACCTCCCAAGATCTTATTCCTTCAAAATGTAGTGATTTTCCCCTGAAGCTAGCGAATGCCAATTCTTGTCTTGAAGGTAATGGAAATTCAAGAAATCAGGAGATCTTGCATTTAAACAAAACAACATAATTATCCACAAACCTGCTGCAAAGAAATTTCCAGCCACCACAGATGAACCATTCTAGACCTCTTTTTCTTTGAGAAATCCTGGCTCTTGGCAATGTATGGTAATCACTTTCATCATTTTCAAACCCTTCTTCGGACATCATTAGAGGCATTTCATCCAAGTGAGAGGGCTCATCTTCTATTGGGTATCTATTAATATTAAAACAAATAACATAATTAAGATGGAATATAGATCCAATATTGTCATACTGAAAAGGAGTTCAAGGAAAGCAACCTCATTTTTTTAAAAAAA